CTCCCCTTTTTGAAGTCAAAGGATTGTTATTAAAACTGAATAATCCATAAGCGTATAAGTCAATTGTTAACTTTATCCTAGACTTTGAGCATTTCCTTAAGCAGATTGTTCAAGCTTTCAGGCTTAAGAAGGAATTTGCCAATAGACTTGGACTACAAATTAAGGCTATGTCTCAACAACGAGACTTAGTTTCTCAGTCTCAAAGTCGAATTACTAAATGGAAAATAAAATCTAAATACAATAAGCTATTGGAAACTCTTAACATGAACATTTTATCTTAAACACAACAGATCGATGAACTGCAGCAAAAAATTGAAGCAGCAGAGGAAGACAATGATGTAATTGATAATCTTGAGTTGGATTCTATCTAACAGAAGTTAGTTGAAGAGGCCAATGTTGGAATTGAGCATGCTAATAACGTTCATGCGCTGAAAAATGAGGTGAATAAGCTAAAAATTGAGGATGCTATGAATGACAAAAGGATTTGACATGCCAAATTGCGTTTTGAAAAGATGAAAACTGAGTTGATGTCTTGAATATCTGGATTTTTGTATTTCAATTTTATTGTATCAATGACTTTTCCATTTTGGCATCTTTGAATGAACGCCATTTTAGCATTATATCTTCCTATACATTATCATTCTCTTGGTATTTTAATTTCTTGCGGCATGAGTTTGTACCTTTTTAAGTACTTGTTATTTACCCTTAGAATTCAACTATCAGTACCTAAATCCTCAATTTCATATATGTTAATCGAGAACACTTGGTTAGTTAAAAGTGTCCCTCCATAATTTGGTGGCCATTTTCCTAAAGTTATGTCCTTTCAATCCATAGGCAGAATTACCGTTCAGACATAGTCACCAATAGTAAAAGCCTTCAACTTAACCTTTTTATTGTAAGCCTTGGCTACTAGTTTTTTTTTTCTCTTATAAGAATGTTTAAAGCAACTAACATATCTGCCTTTAAATCGACCAACTCATCCATCATCATATTTCAACAATGGTCTAATGGAATTTCACATTGCCTTCAGATTCTAAGTGATTGTAAGTATATTTCCACAGGCATGACTCCATCATGACCAAATGTCGATCGAAAATGAATTGTGTTAGTTGCTTCCTTAGGAGACGTTCGAAAATCCCAAAGTGCTTGGTCCAAAGTCTTATGCCAACTCTTTGTCTTATGACCCACATGTCTCTTAATCATGCCAAATATGATCTTATGTATAACTTTGACTTAACCATTTGCTTGAGCATAATAAGGGGTAGAAGTTAGAAGTTTGATTCCGGAGTATAAAGCAAACTCAACCATCTTTCAACCAGTAAACATTGAACCTTGTTGAGGGGTTAATGTTTTAGGAGTTCCAAACCTATAAATGATGTGACTCTGAATAAAATTAATCACAACATCTTAATCAACATTCGTTAAAAGCAAGACTTTGACCTATTTGGTATATTAATCAATACCTACTAAGGCGTACTTATGACCCTTAGATGATGTAGGTCGAATTTCACCAATTAAATCTAATACCCATTCTCTAAATGGCCAAGGATTGTCAATTGAATGTAATTCACTAGCAAGGACATGTTAGATTTCTGCATGCTTTTAGAATTCTTGACACCTTTTGGAAAATTCTATGCAATCTTTCAACATAGTTGGCCAATACATCCCCTGTCAAAACAAAAGTCATTTCATTTTCTGACCAGCTTAATGGGTGCCACACGATCCACTATGGACGTTGAAAATTGCCAAATAGGCTTCACTTTCACTAAGGCATTTTGGTAAAACTCATTATGAAGTCTTTTTGAATAACTCATTGCAAAAAATGGCATAACGTAATGTCTCGTATTTAATATTTCAATATATTGCTCCTGTTGGATTTTCTTGAAATTCTATAATTGTTTTTCGCCAATCATTATTCGACACATTGTCAATGGCAAAAATTTCAAAAATTTCAGGATTTTGATTTTGTAAGTCTTCCACCCTTTTTTTACCCCTACCAGTTTTGTCTTTGACACTTCTAAGGGGAGAATATTAGGGGAAATTAATTTTTTTATACTTTTATTAGCTCTTCTGGCTTCTCCTTAGAGACAATAGCCATTGATTTTTTAGTCGAGGCACATGTTTGATGTCAACTGAATTGAATCTTATAAGAAGTGAATTGGTCGTGATGAAGTACATAAATAGATTCTCTTTGATGCACTTAGATTCTTTCATCAACTGCTTCACAACTAATTCTGAGTCGCCTTTGATTTCGACTTCTTTTGCCCCCAAGTCAAGTAGGCTTTTAAAGCCAACACTTAGGGCTTCGTACTCAGCCTCATTATTTGAGCAACACCCTTGGATTTTAAATTTAAATTTGGTTGGAATTCCTTTGGAGGAAATAACTAGAATGTCAATGCCAGTTCCATTTTTATGTATGGAACTGTCAAAGTATAACTTCAAGGTTTAACTTCGACATAATTTTGTGTTTCTTCGACTGTTGAATAATCTAAAATAAAATCAACAATAATCTGACTTTTCATGGCCTTCAAAGGCGCATACATCAGGGAATATTCAGTTAAGGCCAAAGTCCACTCCCTAATTCGACTATGTAGAATGGGTTTCGACAACATATGTTTGATAATATCAACATGCAAGTAAACATAGACGTTAATAGGCTTTATATAATGCTTTAATTTTGTACATGAGAAATATAAACAAAGACACAATTTATCTATTGAGATATACCTAGTTTTTGCATCATTCAACACTCGACTAAGGTAATAAATGGTCATTTCGAAGCCATCATCACCATTCCGGGCTAACATTTTTCCTATTCTCGACTCAGATGCAGAAACATACAACTTAATAGATATATTTCTTGTGGGAGATAGCAAAACAAGGGGATTCATCAGATGCTCTTGATTTCGTCGAAAGGTTTTTTGTGCTCTGGCTCCCGTTTGAATCCTTCTTCCTTCTTTAGGTGAAGCAATGTCGAAAAAACTTTTGTTTTGCCACTTAGATTTAAGATGAACCTCCTCAGAAATTTGATCTTCCCTAATAATGACTGGAGTTGCTTCTTGGTCGATAGGGACCTTGTATCTAATATAGGTTTAGTCTTATGTTGATTTATCTCTATCCCTTTCTTATGTACCACAAAGCCTAGAAAATTGTTTGCATGGACACAAAAATCACATTTTAGTGAATTCATTTCTAGTCTTTATTTCCTCATCCTTTTGAATTTGTTTACTTGTATTTTTAGTAAACAATCACAAGTTTGATTTACTTAAAAGATTAAACTCGAAAAAATCTTAAAGATAATTTGTGTAAAAATGTGCAAAGAAAAGTGTTTGTGATTGATACTTAAATTAATGAACGAAATGTAAATTCAAAATTAATTTGAAGAAATAAAGTAAAAAAAAACATAATAAATGTCATAAAATAAATGCTTTGATTTAAAGAAACTTAAAGAAAGTTAAAAGATGGACGCAAATTCATACATTTCTCACAAGCAATTTCTCTCTATGACTTGAATATTTTAGTTATACAGAAAATGCATGAAAATCTGCGACCTCAATTCCATACACTGAGATTGACTTATATACTAATACAATAGTAATCATCGATAACAGATAAATCTCCAGAATCTGACATGTATCCCACTACGTATGCTTCTTCGCTCTAACTTGTTTCCGCGCTTCTTCAAAGATAAAACTGTTAAAAACCAACAACCACGTTGACAACTGCATTGATAACTGCTTTGAATCTCTTAACTGCCTCTGTCGAGAGTCTTTGGTCAACTCTTGTAATGTTGAGCCAACTTCGCATCACATAGTCTTTGGACTTCAGAGTATCTTAAGTCTTGAATAGTTGATTTATGTAAATTCCTTCGACATTTTGGACACATTTTGAAGAGAGTGATCATAATCTTGTGAATTTGTTTCTGAAATTTCTCCAAACCAATCTTTGTCTTGACTTATTTGATAGGTTAGTCGAATCATCTTAATCAACATAGTTAGTATGTCAAAGTCTTTAATTGATGCTTTTGACACTTAACATTTTTCAACGCAATCACTTCCATTCTTTATTGACTTCCTCCAATTAGAATTTTCAGACTAACAATTATGCACTCAAAAGGAAAACTACCAAGTGTTTGGTTAGGAAAATTTGACATAGGTAAAGATTATATTTGAAAAGTAGAAAAAATTCAGCTTTCAGACAAGTGAAAGAACCCAAAAAAAAGAGAGACTCGAATTTATTCACTCTAATGTTTGAAACCCAACAATTGTCTCATTCATTTGTGGAACTGTCTACTTTGTTGTTTTTATCGAAGATCACTCTAGAAAAATATGAGTATATTTTCTAAAATATAAGTTTGAAGTATTTGAGGATTTCAAAAGATAAAAGCCATGGTGAAAAATAAAACAAAATTGAAGATAAAAAAGCTAACCATAGTTTATTTATGAGTACAAGATCAGAAGGGAGAGAACCATATTAGGAGTAGCGAAGCATATAAACAGAGTATTGACCGAGATAGCCAGAAGCTTACGTACGTATGTACACAGACTTGCCAAAGTAGTTTCGAGAAGAAGCAGTGAACACATTAGCTTATTTAATCAACACAGATCCATCATTGACTGGGAGAGTTACATCTGTACACAAACTTACCAAAGTCAAGCACTTGGCTTACTCAATCAACACAGGTCTATCAATTCCAAATTTGTGTTCTACATGTCAACAGTAAAATTAACAATTGATCTAGAACATTGTGTGACCTCGAGGATAAATTGATCTAGAACATTGTGTGAGCTCGAGGATAAATTGAGCTCGAGTACTTGAAAATTGCACATGTTTATTTATTACCATTGTCCACATGATCATTCATTTATTAGCATTGTAACTACTAAGTTTATAGATTAAACCTATTGTTTTTTTTTTTTTAATAAAGAAAATAAAAAAAAAGAGAAATATACAAGGGTATAGACGACCCATCCACAAAAAGCCACCAAAGAATCCACAAACTACTTTAAAATCAAATGAGCTATATGATGTCTCATTTTAGTATTACCCCACCCTCTATTTGCGAGGGTATAAATGACTAAATCTCTAATCTCCAAAATGTTCACCGTATTGCCAAAGACGGCGTTGTTACGATATCTCCAAACTTCATGGATGGTCTCCGCTAAAGCACTACGCAGAATGCACTTTCTCCAGCCTTTCCCTTTACAATGATTGATTAGCCATTCAAGCTCTTCACGCCAAGCACAAGGGAACCGATGATACCCCAAACATCCCATAATTTGTTGCCAACAGGTTTTAAACGGCAGGCATTCAAATAAAAGATGGTCAATAGTTTCCACCTTGTCACAGAAATTACATCTGTCGTCGGTCGTAAGGCCAAGCCTTTTGAGTCGACCCCTCGTCGCTAGCCTACGGTGGCAGGCCATCCACAAAGTAAAACGGGCTCGCGGTCTAGCAATGTTATTATAAAGCATGTGTTTCCAAACCACATCAGGATCATCCTTTTTGAGAAATTGGTACACTTTCCCCACAGAGTATTTTTCTGTCATCTCGTTCCAATTATCCATGCTAGTGATGATGATTCTATGTCTAAGGATAGCTTTTAAAATCCAAGACATACCCTGTTTTTCCTGGATCTGCATAAGATCTGTGGTTTTGAAATAAAACGCGTGGATCCATTTCACCCAAAGATTATCCTTTTTGTTACAAAGGTTCCACAGCAGCTTAGATAAACACGCCACTTTCCAATCTGATAAATCTACCACATCCAGACCGCCCTTCTTACGAGGTTTACAAACCATCTTCCACGCAATTGGGGATTTTCTCGACTTTTGCTCGCTGCCTGTCCACAGAAAAGTCCTGCAAATAGAGTTAATAGTTTTGATCACATGCTTGGGGAATGGGAGGCAGCTCATCCAGTAAGCTGCAATTGCAGTGATGGTGTTATTGATCAACTGAAGTCTTCCTGCATAGCTCAATAATTTAGAACTCCAATGACGAATCCGACAAACTATTCTGTCCACCAAACTCATATAATGATGCGTTGACAGCCGTTTACAGGTGAGAGGGACACCCAAGTAACGAAACGGTAACTCCCCTTCCGTAAACGACGTAGAAACCAGGATGTTGGTTTTGGTCTCAGAATTCACCCCTCCGAAGTACACCCTACACTTCGCAGGGTTAACCACTAAACCAGTAGACTTGGAGAAAGATTGCAATTGATTCATAAGCAACTGAACAGATTCGCTATCTCCACGGAAAAAGAGGAGAACATCATCCGCAAAGCTGAGATCAATAATTTGTAGTTTTTCACACTTAGCATGGAAGTTGTAGTTGGGGACTCTACTTAACTGGTGCATAAGCCTGTGGAAGTACTCCATAGCTAAGACAAAAAGGAGAGGGGAAATAGGATCGCCTTGTCTAAGGCCCCGCTTAGCTTTCATGGTTCTAGTAATTCTGCCAGCAATATTGAACCTATACGACACTGTCGACACCGCCAGCATAATCCATTTGGTCTATTGTTGAGTGCTAAAGAACTAACGCACATTCAAAAACAATACTATTCTTATTTTTCACTGATTTTTATTATTATATCTCAAACAATCAATCAAAACTCTCAAAATTGATTATTCACTTTTAAAAAAAAAAGTTTTTTTCATGAAAAAAAAATTAAATAAATAAATTGTAACAGATGAGCTCTATATCTTAGTAAATTTGAGTTCTTCCTGACAAACTTCCAATAGTCGACAGTAAAAGTATCAAATTGATCTTGAACATTGTGTGAACTCAATAGACAACAACAAAGGCAAAATATGGGAAAGACTTTATGGATAAAAATCTGTCAAGTTTTATATCGGGTTGATAGGATCAAACACTCAAACTATAGAAACAAAAAGCATGCTTGCAATTGAAGCAACACAAACTATAACAATTCTTAATCTTTCGTGATAAAGTACAGAGAACATAATTAACTGGATGCAACTGTTTGCCACCTTTATTAGGACATACTACATACTGATTTAGTTAGAAGATATCCGGTGGGAAATTTCCTTGAAATCCGTTGCTCTGTTGAGCCTGCCTCAAATGCATTCCCAATGCATAGTTATTCATCTGTTGACAAACACATAGAATTCATCAGCATATGAGCTTAAGTTTGAAAGTTGTTTAGTTCAGATTTTTAATCCACCACTTCAATAATTTGTAATAGAACAAGGAACCAAATTTATTTAATAGGTAAAATTAATTTCTTATCGTATGCAATAATTGAGCATTGGCCCGTCCTTGTTTTCAGCCGAAGCAGAATTGCGTATCCAACAGAAGGAAGGAGATTAAGAGAATATCGACTAATGTGAACCTCCCAACAATCACTTTAAAACCTACATATAGTATTTGGCAGATTACTAAAATAACTTCCAAGTCCCAACCCCAAAGGGAGATTATAACAGGACAGAAATGTATTTCTAGTTACTAGTTTCCGAACAAAATGTGCTTCAGACTCAGGAATCAACCATGAAACTCAAAAATTATAATCAGTTTCTAATACCTATGCAGTCACACCACTTTTCCCCCTTCTATCCCATATAGAAAGGGATAGTATCGAAAGTGAATCCTATCATTAAAAAGATTCACACCAATGTACGAGAAATATTAACTCGTTTAACTACGAGCAAAAAAAAAAAGAGATAAAGTTGAATCAGACCTCAAGAGTTCTGATCTGTTCCTGGTATTGAGACGCCAACTGCTTCAACTGCTGCAATTCATGATTCTTATTATCATAATCAGAAAGGCGTTCGTGCTGAATCCTGAATGCATTTTTAAAAGAATTTTTCTCCTTAATCAGCACTTCAATTTGCTGCTTCAGCATCAAATTTTCCTGAAAATGAAACCATCTTGTAGCGATTAAGATAAAAGCTCAATTGAGGATAACAGGGGGAAAATACAATACAGTTACTCCTAACCCATTAATAGGTTCTAAGATATAAGGGTATCAGAGCACGCATGCACATACAGGTCAATCACGCATCCCAAAAATCATAGCCAGGACTACCACAAATCTGGGTACTCTGATCATAATAAAAACCATTCTTGAAAGGCTATCAATAAATATTCTGTAAAAGATTTAGCAGCAAGAGGATGCCTGACAAAATATTAAAAGATCTATAGAATAGATTGTCTAAGCAAGTTTGTTCTGCACTTCTCCCCCAGTGTTACCTTGACACATAAGCAAGTAAAACTAAAGAAGTTACATAGACTTCTTATTGCACAGCATTGTACACTTCCTAAAAGAAACAAATTTCAAAATACACACTACTGCCCAACAGATAGTTCAATAATCCTTGCTCTTCAAAAAGGAGACTCATTTGTGACCTACAAGACGATACAATTTTAAGATGAGTCATAAATGACTAGCATAAATAATTAAATACCTTCTGAAGAGAATCTGTTGCCTCAGCCTTTGCTCGTTCACTGATTGATTTCTCTAGAACCTCCAGCATTCTAGCAGCACGGGCTCTAGCATCATCAACACTAGTAGCAACCATCATTTCTCGAACAAAGAAGTCAATCCATTCTGCTCCATCTGCAGGAAGGTTGTTCAAAGTGGACTGATTCTCAGAAGCAGAATCATTCACATCATCTTCCAATTTACCTGCACGGTTTTTCAAAGACATGTCAATATCTTGGTTTATGATTTCACTGCCAATAATCAACACTTTAAAAGTCCGTTCAAACTATGTTGTTAAAATCTCAGATGGTGGCGCAGAGATATACAAACTAAACATAATCCCAACAGGATGAATAAATATTCAAAAATAGCAATATACTCGTAATTAAAAAAGATGATCATACTTGATAATTAATAGCTTTAAAAAAGGGTAACAGGTGTTTCTATTGTTTATGTCCTTCAAAAAATTCTTTTCCCAAGCCATGTAAAGGATGTCACCACTATAGGCTTAAAGTAACATTTACTGTCAGAGGTTGGTAATGCCATTGTTCTTGCAGAAAACCAAAAAACAGAGAGAAGTAAACCAAAAATACAAAGAAGGAACAGTGGAGAAACAGAGGCCTTCTCAGTTCTTAAGCAGAAGAAAAGAATGGGAGAAAAATTTGCAGAAGAAGACACACACAAAGCCAGGGGTAGTGAGAAGAGTCACACGAAACAAGTACATAACGAGAAGAAGTCGTGAAGAATAACAAAATTTAGGTCACTTAAAATATAACTAAATGACATGCCCTTAAAAAATAGAATGGTTAAAAATAATGGGTATTGGAGGGATTTCACCCGTTAAACTCTAATAGCACATGAGCGATTAGGACTTGATAACTATATGATTCATGGGTGTTGCATCAGTTAAAAGTGGCTTTCCAGCCAAAAGCATCGTGTTGGACCTTGCCGCTCCATGATTGCACACTATAGTGCTGCAATTGGCATCATGGCATTCATCTCAGCCACCTGTCCCTCACAGTCCTTGTTCCAGTCAACAAAAGAGTAACATACTAGTGATGTGCTCGTGGGCCGAAAAAAGTTAACAGAAAAATTGAAAAGAAAAAATGTGAGCAAAGAAGAGTGAATATGCAATGTGCGTGTGAGTGGGTGAAAGAGAGTAGGTGGGATTGATTACAAAAGAGTAAAGATGAATGTATTTGTTTTTTTGATAAAGAGACTAGATAGGATTTGTTACAGAGGGACTGAGGGGGTGACACTCAGCGTGACTGAAACAGCAGAGACTGAAGGAGGTCACCAATGAATGGAATTAAAAGAAGAAAAAAAAATGTCAGTAGAATTGTAAAAATGCCACAGGATGAAGAATGAAAACTTTGGAAAAGACACTTTTAGATCCTGTTTACTTGTTGAAAACATTTTCAAATATGCGTTTCAAAATTCAAAGTAAACAGGGCCTTATCGTTTCAACATTACCAAAAACTGCGACCTCTTTGTTCCCCAAATATGAAAGAAAATGAAAACACCAAACGCAACCAAGTTAACCAAACATTACTTGCCAGCACCAACCATACCTTGATCCCCACTGACATCAATCTCTGATTCTTCAGCAGTTCCAAAATTCCCACCCCCAGCTCCCAAGTAAAGCTCATTCAGGCTCTTGATAGCAGCATCTAGATCATTGTCACTTTCTTGGAGAGCTCTCTCAAGAACCTGAAAGCTCAAATATCAATACAGTAGCAAAACATTCTTACATTAAACATCGCATAAAATTATACAATGGACTGGCATTTTCCCTCCCTCCCTCCCTCCATTAAAAAGAATAGGATTATTTTCACTTCTATCAACCAAACAAAATATATTTCATTCAAATTGAATCCTCCTTCATTAAAATATATATAATTCAAACTCAACATACAAAAAATAAAACGGAAATTGAAAAAATAATCAGTTGTTAATCCAAATTCAAATTAACAACTGATACATCCGTAAGTATACAATAATCAGTTCCTAAATTCAAATTAACAAATCCAGGCATTAGCCTAAACATAAAATAAGATAATATAAAACTAAACTAAACTAAAAACATTTTAGATTTTTCAATAAATATATAAAAGCCAAAAAAAAAAGAAAGAACGAAAAATACCTGTTGTTCCATGTGAGGGAAGAGATTACGAAGCTGGTCGAAGAGTGATGGCGAAGGAAAACGAATCGGAGAAGTAGCAGATGAACAACGAAGCCTCTTAGATAACGGCGGAGAAGGAGGAAGTTCTTCAAAGAAAGATCTCTTGCTTCCGCACACAGCAGCAGACATCGTTCGTTCGTTCGATGACGAATTTCGATCCAATTTCCTCCTCTTCGCTTTTCTTTCCTGGATCTACAATCTACTCAATCCAATTCAACTCATCCAAAAACACACAGAGAAAAACGAATTCGATTGAATTGAATCTGAAGAAGAAACTAGGGTTAGGGTTTTGAGAAAACGAAGAAAGGTTTATCGTGAGGGCTAGGTTATTGTGATTGTGGAGTTGACAAAAAAAGTGTTGAAAATTGAGGAGAATGAGTATATATAGTGGGATTGAAAATGCGATAAAGGAGAATGAATAATGAATGAAGAAGAAAGTGTGAAGACGGTGCCACGTGCTTGTGAGCGCGTGGTCGAAAAAAATCTGCAATAGTGAAAAAGAAAGATGAAATTATTTAAATTACCATCGCGTTTTCAATATTTTGTTATATAGTGGGAGTATGAGATTATCCGAGAATTTAAATGTGATTTTATTTCATCTTTTTGTCTACGTTAAAATTGAATCGTGTTTTTTTTGTGTGTGTTTTACTGATTTTGTTAATAAATTTTAGTTAGTTAAAATAAAATCCTGTTTACATTTTATTTATCTGTAAACTTTATTAATTTAATTTAGTTATCCTATGTTAAAAAATTATATAACTGAAATATAATTATTGTTAATGTTGAGAATCTCAACCATGATGAAGAATAGTGAAAAGTTTGTTATTTGCATTAATTAACTCATATGTTATATTGAATAGATTATATATATACATCAAATAAAAGGAGAAGCACTTGTAACTAACGATCAAAATTGTTTTAATTAATTTAGTTTTTACCTTTATTTAATTTATATATGTATAAGAGATGCTAACCACAAAATAATAATCAGGCCTGATTGTAGATAAGGGTTGTAATGCAAATAGATAAGTTGATATCTCCCTTCATGTTAGATTATGGATTGAACAAAGTTTTAATTTAGTTAAAATGATAGTAGATAAAGTTGGAGAATGCAAAGGTTTAGTGAACATGTCTGCAAAGTGAGTAGTGGTAGAAATAAGAAGTAAGGGAATGATTTTGGAATTCAACTTCTCTCAAATAACATGACAGTACAACTCTATATGTTTGCTTCTTTCATGGAGTGTAGGATTGTGGGCAAGGTAGATAGCTAATTTGCTATCACAGTAGACAAAATCAGGTTGAGGAAAATCAATCATGTGATCTTTAAAGAGATATTGCAGCCATTTCAATTCACAAGTCAAGGAAGTCAATGTCTTATACTCATCTTCTTTAGAAGACCTAGAAACAGTGTTTTGTTCTTTGACTTCCAACATAGAAAAGATGGGCCAAGAATAACACAATATCCAATAATGAACTCTTGGTGTCAAGGAATCTTGCCCAATTAGAGTCAGCAAAACCATAGAGCTTGAGAGAACTGGAAGATGATAACAAAATCTCTGAGGTTGAGAATAGCCCAAGGAAAGTAAAAGAGTGGGGAACTTTGAATACCATTGCTTGGTGGCCTGTTTGAGGCCATAAAGAAACTTTTGAAGCTTACAAACCTGAGCTGGATTGGAATGAGCAAGGCCATAATGGAGTGTCATATACACTTATTCATTTAAATCGCCATGAAGAAAAACACTATTCGCATTTAATAGTTCTAAGTGCCACCCTTTGATAGCAACAACAGAAAGCAACACTCTAACTGTGGTGATCTTAGCAACGGGAGAAAATGTATCAAAATAGATAATGCCCTCCATTTGAGTATACCATTTGCCAACCAATCTAGCCTTGTATCTCTCAATGGAACCATTGACATGGTATTTAATCTTGTACACTCATTTATAATAAATAGGGACTTTCCCAGCAGGCAGATTCACTACACTTCATGTGTGATTATCCTTAAGAGTATGTAATTCAATATCCATAGCATTCTTCCAACAATCGAGTTTGACAGCTTGGTTAAATATTTTAGGCTTAATATTGGAGGAGATAGAACATCATTAATGCTTATAAGTGGGAGAGCATTGATTGTAAGAGATGACAGAAGAGAGAGGGTAAGGTTTTTCAAGGGACAAAGGATATGCATTGTTAGAGATAGAATAACAATAGTAGTCTGCTAGATAATTAGGAGGATGAGAGACCTTATGGATTTACTAATAGGTAAGACAGGCACAAGACCATTTGGTGCATTACGTACATGAGGAGAAATGCTAAGACCATTGGGCAATGTTTGGCTAGGTGAAGGCATAGGGTCAAAACCGAGAGAGACATGTCTACTTGATTAAGACAGATGTCTAGGTTGTAAAAAGTTAGCACTAGGTGAATAATCATTGTCAAAAATAAAGCCAAGGGGTAATGTGTCAGAACTATGAGGGATGGGCAAGTCATTCTAGTCAAATTGGTCAAAAGGAGAGCTGGGAGAGAAGCCAGAACTAGTGGATAAGGACAAACCAATATTTGATTGTTGACCGGGTAATTGAGCAAAGGAAGGGTCATCAAATAAGGTTTGACCATGGTGAGATTAAGGAGGTGAGTGATAGCCCACTTTGTGTGAGTTATCATTAGCCCTAGTTATTTCACTTTCTTAGTTTATTTAACTTTTTATTAGATTCTTTTTAGATCATTTTTAATTGTTTTGTAGCATATAACATGGACCAATAGGTGCTCCCTTTTGTTGGTTTAATGTTTTTATTGCTTGCATTATGGTTTCCTCTGATGAGCTAAGGCGATATTGTGCCAGAGAACACCTAGGAGTGCTAGCTGAAGCAAGAAGATGAACTTCGCCAAAGAGTTAAATGGAGAAATCATCTAAGTTCTAGAGAAAGGTCAAAAGGAATGGAGTACTAGAGGAAAAGTGTGCTCATATTGAAGAAATTTCATTTGAATTTGTGGATAAGATCAAATAGGAGTTATAAGACAAAAGTAGTACAATTGCACAACCACCACTCTACGTAATCTTCCAGAAAGGACAGTGCCGCCTGCAGCCTTTGCAGCCCTGCTATAGCAGTCTCGAACAGGATGCTTTGTCTCCCAAAAATGTTCCCTTGTACCTGATTCCTTGGAGGCTATGCAGAAAGAATATTTAGGACATTACTAATTTGATTATTGGGCTTGATGTGATTTCCTTATCATTGGCCCATGATATAAGGTTCCTCAAGAAATCCTAGATGAAGGTTATAAACAGACCCTGTTGAAGATTAGAGCGAGAGTTCACCATTCTAAGAATACTAGACACAACATAGAAGTGTGAAGTTAGTGGATAGAAAGAGAGTTTTTCTTCTCACCACATCTGGTGCTAGCTGCTGAGTCTTGGCACGAATGAAGTCATCCTTGGATGAGTATCCCTCTCAAGGAGTCTTCAAGTTACTCTTAGGTTTATATTTCTTTTTCATTACTTGTTTAAGAATGTATCATTTGAGAACATTGTCTGTATTTTGTACTCAACTCATTATGAGTTAAACCTTTTGTATGTTGAGAAATGGAAAATTAATGTTATGATGTTTTTTATGTTAAATGAAGTGTGTTTAATGCCTTATTTTATTATGTGTTAGCATGTTTACGAATTTGTTTCTAAGATTGATCAACTTAGAAAAAGATAATAGCTTATTGTTGTGAGAGATCCAACAACAAGTGGACTTCATAATAAAAGTAGTTGAAACGAGTAGGATAAAAAAATTCACTTAATTAGTTCACTTAGAGATAAGGAACTACAACTATAAAGGATTTCATAAAATAACATATGTATTTTAGGGTTATAAGTGTGATTTAGATATTTGTTCCATTGCCTTGACAATATATGTTTTGATGTTGTAGAAATACACCTTTAGGTCACTCTGACCTTTCTTGGCACGTCATTGCACTTCATGAACACATTGTTAGATCATTATCATTAATGGACTTTAGAGTTATAATAACATGTTTTTGATGTGAGATGTGATGTGACTTATATAATTATGTATTGTGAATAAATTTATATGTGATGTGGTGAGGTGAGTAGTTCAAAAGTGAGGATTACTATGAATTTTGTATTGCATTGGTTCAAAAGTGGGGAACGATGATCGTTTGGGGTTCAAAAGTGAGGACCTGGTTCAAACGAGGAACCATTGTTGAGTGAACGATATCGGTAACAAACCTCTAATGTCCAATTTAGTACCACATGCATAAAGTCGAGTTGTGAGTCACATTGCATACAGAAAAGCTATGTGAATTGGATTATTGTGTTTACGTGTAATTGAATGTGTGTTGTTGATCGTGTGATTTAAGCCACCCTTGTATTTCTTACATTGTTAATATATTTGAGCGTATTCTCACCCCTTTCTTATTTGTTTTGTGTTATTCCGTACATTTTTGTACATATACTTAGGAGAAGTTCCGTGAGTTGGAAGATGGCCTTGGAGTTTTTCTTCTTTTATTTTATCGTTTTATCATTATTTAGTTGGTTTAATACTCTGATCTGAAACATCTGGAACAAAGAGTTTTATTTGTTTTGAGTTAATCGTTGGATCATGTTAATTTTATTGAGTATTTTGATATGGTGAGATAATTGAATTCTATGCTATTTATTTAGAATTTTGCTACAAGTTTTGGAAGTAATTGGAAAGTATGTATGTTATGTTTGAGCAGCATCCTAAATTATGGATTTTATCTTTAATTTATGTGTCAAGGTTTTAGGGTGTTACAAAGAGCTTCCAAGAGTTGTACTCGACACACAACTGGAAGACTTTCAGACATGCCTATTCCCCGGATGAAGTCGGGAAGAGGAAAATTTTAAATGTTTTAGGACAGCTAGCCCAAATTCATAAAAGAGCAGCCGAAGTCCTATTCTTGTAAACAAACACTCACAAAACAGGATTATGTTGTCATCTAAAGAGCTTCATATCCTCCTCTCTCCTGATACGGGAAGAACCGACCACTACGAAGGATTATTAACTACAATTATAACATTACTAAGGGTAGCCTCAGCGTCAACAACCAAGTGAATACTCGTTACATTTGCATCTACCTAATCATACATCAGCGTGTTCGAA